ATTGTCACTCAGCCTCATAATCTGAGCCGACGTATGACAATGAGACTGTCACAGGTCGGCTCAGTAGATCGGGAGGTGAGAGAACGCATACCGGCGCTCGCTCACCTCTCGATCCTGTCATGGCTCTCTGCGGTGACAGGGGAGGGGATGGATTCCCCCCGCTCCGATCCTCCAGCGCTGTCTAGCGGAACGGAGGGGGCGGGCACAGCTGGCTCGGCCTCTAGATAGGCGGAGCCAGCTGTCACTCACACAGCTGGGCGGATCCAGACATTGTCGGGATCGGTCCCGGTTGCGGCGTCTCAGTATACCACGAGCCGTAGCTCCCTATATACTGAGCCTAGGGCGACGGGAGGACGCTAGTTTGTGTAGGAGAACTATGGGGGGAAAACCCCGACCCCATAGTTCTCTAACTCTTCCCTGCTACATCCGAACAGAAGAAAAGAAAGCATTGTGGAAAGGCGGCCGTGTGATGTAACTTGGTGTCTCTCATGTGCAGGAATTTGAATTGCGGAAGCATGCCAGGCAGGAAGGACGGCGCTATTGTGATCCCGTTGTACTGACTTACCAGGCGGAGCGGATGCCGGAGCAGATCCGACTGAAGGTAAACGTGGTGTCCTGCGTGGAAGCGGGCCGGTTCTGTTCCGACACGGTCATGTTTGCTGTGTCTGTGATGTCTGCGGAGAGCAATCTTACCTGCCGCGTGTGACATGACACATGACCTATTCTGTCCATGAACCCGCTGGAAATGGTTGTCTGATGTTGTGATCTGTGATCGCCGCTCACCCCTCGCTCTGTCTCTTCAGGTCGGAGGTGTGGACCCCAAACAGCTGGCTGTTTATGAGGAATTTGCACGCAATGTTCCTGGCTTCCTCCCCACCAACGACTTGACTCAACCCACAGGATTCCTGGCTCAGCCCATGAAGGTGCCGGCATAGCAGATGTAGTGTTGCTCATGCGTGTGGGAGGTTCCGCATTCTCATACTAACTTGTGCGTGTTTTTTTCAGCAACAAGCCTGGGCCACCGACGATGTCGCGCAGATTTATGACAAGTGCATCGCCGAACTGGAGCAACATCTGCACGCCATCCCGCCCACGCTAGCCATGAACCCTCAGTCTCAGGCCCTGCGAGGTCTGCTGGAAGCCGTGGCACTGGCCCGTAACACCAGGGATGCCATTGCTGCTTTGGGGCTGCTGCAAAAGGTGAGAGACTGTAGAGGGCACTATGGGTATAGATCTGGATCCGCTGGGGGGGCTGTAGAGGGCACTATGGGTATAGATCTGGATCCGCTGGGGGGGCTGTAGAGGGCACTATGGGTATAGATCTGGATCCGCTGGGGGGGCTGTAGAGGGCACTATGGTTGTAGGGGGCACTATGGGCAGAGATCTGGGGGGGCTGTAGGGGGCACTATGGGCAGAGATCTGGGGGGGCTGTAGGGGGCACTATGGGCAGAGATCTGGGGGGGCTGTAGGGGGCACTATGGGCAGAGATCTGGGGGGGCTGTAGGGGGCACTATGGGCAGAGATCTGGGGGGGCTGTAGGGGGCACTATGGGCAGAGATCTGGGGGGGCTGTAGGGGGCACTATGGGCAGAGATCTGGGGGGGCTGTAGGGGGCACTATGGGCAGAGATCTGGGGGGGCTGTAGGGGGCACTATGGGCAGAGATCTGGGGGGGCTGTAGGGGGCACTATGGGCAGAGATCTGGGGGGGCTGTAGGGGGCACTATGGGCAGAGATCTGGGGGGGCTGTAGGGGGCACTATGGGCAGAGATCTGGGGGGGCTGTAGGGGGCACTATGGGCAGAGATCTGGGGGGGCTGTAGGGGGCACTATGGGCAGAGATCTGGGGGGGCTGTAGGGGGCACTATGGGCAGAGATCTGGGGGGGCTGTAGGGGGCACTATGGGCAGAGATCTGGGGGGGCTGTAGGGGGCACTATGGGCAGAGATCTGGGGGGGCTGTAGGGGGCACTATGGGCAGAGATCTGGGGGGGCTGTAGGGGGCACTATGGGCAGAGATCTGGGGGGGCTGTAGGGGGCACTATGGGCAGAGATCTGGGGGGGCTGTAGGGGGCACTATGGGCAGAGATCTGGGGGGGCTGTAGGGGGCACTATGGGCAGAGATCTGGGGGGGCTGTAGGGGGCACTATGGGCAGAGATCTGGGGGGGCTGTAGGGGGCACTATGGGCAGAGATCTGGGGGGGCTGTAGGGGGCACTATGGGCAGAGATCTGGGGGGGCTGTAGGGGGCACTATGGGCAGAGATCTGGGGGGGCTGTAGGGGGCACTATGGGCAGAGATCTGGGGGGGCTGTAGGGGGCACTATGGGCAGAGATCTGGGGGGGCTGTAGGGGGCACTATGGGCAGAGATCTGGGGGGGCTGTAGGGGGCACTATGGGCAGAGATCTGGGGGGGCTGTAGGGGGCACTATGGGCAGAGATCTGGGGGGGCTGTAGGGGGCACTATGGGCAGAGATCTGGGGGGGCTGTAGGGGGCACTATGGGCAGAGATCTGGGGGGGCTGTAGGGGGCACTATGGGCAGAGATCTGGGGGGGCTGTAGGGGGCACTATGGGCAGAGATCTGGGGGGGCTGTAGGGGGCACTATGGGCAGAGATCTGGGGGGGCTGTAGGGGGCACTATGGGCAGAGATCTGGGGGGGCTGTAGGGGGCACTATGGGCAGAGATCTGGGGGGGCTGTAGGGGGCACTATGGGCAGAGATCTGGGGGGGCTGTAGGGGGCACTATGGGCAGAGATCTGGGGGGGCTGTAGGGAGCACTATGGGCAGAGATCTGGGTCTTCTAAGAGGATCATTTCAACTGCCACACAATTCCTGCCCGCAGACGGCTTTGGTGAATTGTGGGAACATCCCGGCACTGATTTTATTCTTCCCTTGTCTCCCCCTCTGCTCAGGCTGTGGAAGGTTGTAGGGGGCACTATGGGCAGAGATCTGGGGGGGCTGTAGGGAGCACTATGGGCAGAGATCTGGGTCTTCTAAGAGGATCATTTCAACTGCCACACAATTCCTGCCCGCAGACGGCTTTGGTGAATTGTGGGAACATCCCGGCACTGATTTTATTCTTCCCTTGTCTCCCCCTCTGCTCAGGCTGTGGAAGGTCTGCTTGATGCCACTAGCGGTGCCGATGCCGACCTCCTGCTCCGATACCGGGAATGTCATCTACTCGTCCTGAAAGCTCTGCAAGACAGCCGGGCCTACGGGGCTCCATG